TAAGAAATGGTTTCCAGAAAACAAAATTAAGCGTTTTGGAGGAGCCCAGACAGACTCTAGAATCTCGTCCAGAATTTGTGACCTGAAGACCAGAATGATGGCAAAGAAGCACTTCAACTTCAAAGAGCTGAGAAGCAGAAGAGGAGTAGAATAAAATCCCAGTGGAGACATACTGAAAACTTCTAGGAAATTAGTTTGTTTGCTGTAATGGCAAATAAAGGGCTTTTCTTTGACTACAAAGAATAAACAATAAATAATTAGGAATGAATAATGTTGGAAATTATATTTTTAGTAAAATATAAACACATAGAAATAGTTCAAACTCATCATTAACATCTCTAACACAACGTCTTACTGTCTGTTGTGACTCCTTTATGTCATTTCCATCCAAAAGAAACCTGCTGTTCAAATAAAAATTTGCTGTAAATCCAAATGTACCTTGGATATGCATAACTGGACAGTTAACTGTTATATTTGAATTTAGAGTAAAAAAAAGACAACAGCTAACCACAGAGGAGACATCAGGTCTGCATACTTGTCACTCGACAGTTTTTCCACATCCCACCATTGATGAATGCATCACATCTGCAGATAGAGTAAGCTCAGCTGTCAGGCTCATGAAAGCCTTTTTGTTTAGATGTTGCTTGTTTCAAGTCCTGCCACGAGGGGGTCTTCATCAGACAGTCACTGGAGCAGGCCGTGTTTTAACAATGCATATCCTCCTTCTTAAAACATCAAGATGTGTTTGTGCAATCACAGTCTTTCCTACTGTGAAAACTAATAACAGAAGCTTCCCTCGTCAGAATTACATGCTACATTAAAAAAAAACATTTCACTTTGGCTTGAAATATGCATCCTGAGCAAATATTTTACACCTTTTTTTTTTACTCCATCTCTCATGAGTGAAGTGAAAGCTGACCCAGTGATCTGTGCTGACCCCTGCGGTCATCACCAGTGCTAATGAACAGTGAAGGAGGAGGGGGGGAAGGTTGGCATGTTACCCCTGGAACCCACCCCTCTTCCCCTGCCTGGACACAAATCAGGTTTCACAGCTGAGGCTGCGGAGGATGCTGGAACAGTTACTGGCTGGCTGGATGCAAATAAGGAAGGAAAGAAATGAATGCGGCGTGTCTGGGGATGTCTACGTACCGCCTCCAAGCTAAGCCTTATGATTGGCTCACGGCCACGGTGGAGGCAAACGATCAATTCATCATAAATTTGTGCCTTATCTGCAACAGCGATGAAAGCAGTGATCTGTTAATGTGTGACCCAACTCACTGACAGGGATAAGTCCAGGGTGCATGTGAAAGATTAATGACCAGAGATTACAGTTAATGGGTTTTGTTTGTGTGTTTGTGAATACAGTGAACAATGAAGCCTTGAAAGTGTTTCCTCGTTGAGATGTCGTCTTCCAGCTGCCCTCCGTCTGAACCAGTTTGTAGCAGTGAGTGTTTTCTTAATGTAGTGATTCCTGTGAGTCTCAGCACCTCCTCTGAGTCAGCAGCTTCCTGAAAAGGGATGCAGATATGCCAATGCAGAAAACGAAATTCGGTTTTAAAGTCTTGATTTATTTAAGAATGGAACAAATGAAGGATGCAGTTTATGTGATGCTGTTATTGTCCGCAGCAGTTGGTTTACACTCTGTGCATGAGAGTGTGTGTGTGGAGAAGATGAGGCCAGATGGACTGAACGCAATGCCAGAAGAGAAGATATGCTCCGAGGCTCAGTGCCAAGTTATACATAAAAAACAGACACAAAGAGCAACACGGTGCCAAGCTGAAGGCTGCGTTCAAATCGCAGGTTCGGTGAGGCTCGGCGATGACGTTTTATTTATTTACTGATCGCAGTCATTTGGAACCTACATACTTCACATATCACATGAACAACAAATGCCTTTTTGTTTAGACAGTCTGTCATGAAAGACACCTACGTTGCACGCCATTCTCCTCAGAGGATTCGAACAAAGCATCTGCCCAAACATTAATTTATTTCACATCCCCGCTCTCTGCGCTTTCCAGGACTCTGAGTGATTGTCTTCCCTGTTTATATAACGACAGTAATCCCATACAGAGAGATATGAAAACAACATGACAGATCAGACTCTGTTCATGTGGCAGCAGCATCAAATAGTTTATTAGAGCGTCACAAATCAGAAGTGAAAGGTGTTTTCTAAACCGCAGCACAGATGTGTTATCGGTGTCACACAGAAAGGGGAAAAAATCATCACTCTCTTTCATACACTCACGCTCCGCAGGACACTATTGGCCTTGCAGGACTGCTTTTTACAACTCTATCGTCCAGTCCAGTTCCACACCCACCGTTTTCCTGAGTCCACCAGAAACCCCCGAAGAGCCGTGCAGTAAAGAGAGTTTGGAGACGAGAGGATGACATGTTCATTGATTTTATTAAAAAAAATAAAAGATACTTCAAAGGATTGGAAAATGGAAGAAATACAAGACTTTTCCTTAGATGAGCAGATAGACAGAGGCAGAAAAAAAAAGCACCACGTCATCCACATGCAGCAGATTTCAGGAATACCAACAAGAGACAAAGGTCAAGCAGTTCACAGAGGGACACTTAAACAGGTTTGGGGAAGTTAATCTACTCGTGTCCTTGTGTTATAGAGTCACATAGCGTTCTAGATGATGTGCAGCACTTTGGCAGTGTCAGTATATTGATAAGTTGTTTAAGGCTGATGAGAGGAATAGTTGGTTAGTCACTGATTTCAGTCAGTTAATCTCATAGCAGCTGGAAGTTTGGTCATTACCATCTTATGCTGGGAATCCAAATGTTTTCTTTTGGTGTAATCATCAGATTTAATGAAGAGTTGGAGGAAGCTAGTGAAGGAAAAGATGATTGTTAAAATCTAAAATCTACTCAGGGGGAAAGGTATATGTGAAGCCGTTAAACAGTGCATGTAGTGTTTAGGTGAACCTGTGTGTGCTTCTTTTTGTAAAATAGGAGAAAAAATAGCAGCAGTCTGAGGCCTGTCAATAATGCAGACAAGTTCCTCTGTGCAGAAGGCCGATGAAGGTTTTCTAGAGGAAGTATCACACACCGCTTCTGCAAAGATTTCCGTTACCTAAGTGGCTTTTGCACAACAATTATGTAACGACTTAAAAATACATAAGGAGAAAATAATGAAACTCAAATGACTGCAGCTGAAGCAAATATTGTGAATTATAACATTTTTTTAATCCAATCACATTCTTGGTTGCCATTGTTGCTTTGTCTTTATTTTGATTTCTGCTCTGTGGGTGTAAAGCATGTTCTTTCCTGTAAGAAGGCTAACTTGTGCATGTAATACAGAATAACAAACAGCTTTGAAAACCCAATGCCAAACTGTGGTTGGGTTTCATAACAAAGTCTTTTTTTTTTTTAAATCGCTGATCCCATCGGTTTTAACAGCCACTCAATAGAGTGATCCTCCACAACACACAGTTGGACAAGGACAGAGAAAGATCAACACTTGCAGCATATTTGAAGTCTGACTAACGCTTTGTGTATTGTCATGGTGGCAGCCGACACAGCTGACTTTCAGCTCTGCCAGTACACGCACAAACAAACTGCACTTCATTGAGGAAGTTCAGTCAAGCCAACATCAGCCTCCAAAGTGCTATAAGGTTAACATTTGGATTTTTTTTTTTTTTAACTGAACCAGACGAACACAGAATACCGTTTGAGGCGCACAGAGTGTAAACCTTTACTTTATTCCCTTTTTACTGCAAATTAAAGTTTTGTAGCTTTTTCCGTCTGATTTTACGGGAAACATCTGGATCTCTCGCACCACTGGAGCAGTGGCCCCGGGTGATTCTGTGCTGCTCAGCTGTGAGGGCCCGGGATAATGAGCAGGTATCAAACGGGCTCCTATGGATAAGCCGGCCTTGGTAGGAAGGGCTGCCCAACAGCATCCAAGACCACCATGCCAAAAGTGACTGCACACTGTGGCATCTGTTCATCTTTAACAAGTTATTGAGAAAGATTTAAGAAAGGATTTCTCCTCAACTGTTTGCTCGAAATTACTCAGCTTGTGATTGCAGGAAGGTTTGCTTCCGATTGCGGAGAAAATCAAGATTTTTCAGTCAGGCTGTGACCCTGTTTGCACTGCTCAGCCGATTTGTAAATTCACCCACTGTTTTTTTTTTTTTTTTTTACAAGGGCTTGATCCTCAGGCTTCACACAGGGAGGGTCATGTCAGTCCTGGAGCAGCAAGATTAGAATTAGTCACAGAGATCACAGTGTCACACCACGCTCAGATAAATCATCAGTTTAAAAATACCTTGCAGTGATTTTCTAAAAAAGCCTCCTGTGCAGCCAAGCTTGGTGAACAGCAGCAGGAAGACAATGATCATCATCACTGAGATCATTTTGGAATAAAGCAAATAAACTCACAGCCTCTATTTGTTTAGGTGCTATCTGTCATAAAAGGCTGCATAGTGTGAGTTTGGTGCATCAGCATGTTCACAAAGCAGCAGGAGGGTGAAGCCACAGTGGTTGCAGGTGTTTCCCCGCTCAGACCGCATTCACAAGCCATTAGAAAAATCAGACAGAGCAGCGCTAAAATATTCCTAGAGGTGTAGAAAACAAGAGCCATTCATTACAAGGGCCTTCATTAAGTCCTGGATAATTTGTGTGTATAAATACTGGAAGCTTTTTTTTTTTTCTTTACAGTTTTCCACCTGGGAAGCAGTCACTTCAAAGTGTGGCTTTAGAATGAAACATAGGATCATTTCAAATCAGAGGGTGATGCTTGTTTTCTGAAGGTGAAAACTTATTTCAAGTGAGGATTTCAGCAGCAGAGTGAAGGGTTTAGCTGAAATAACCACAGAGAAGGGAGTCCCATTTACACCAGCAGCCCTGCGTTAACAATGAGCTCCTTTTAGTGTTTAGATTGCATCTAACCACGTCTGGGAAAACGAGATGTAAACACTTTTAATGTATTAAGAGGGAGCGGGAGAGATTCAAAGGCATTTCTCTCTATATAGTTGGGGTCTTGTGTTTTTTTTTTTTAAAGCTGCAGAGTTATTGTCCTTATCTGGGGCTCCCTGCTCGTTAAAGAGCCCAAAGGCATCACCATTTGAAATATTTAAGCGCACAAACTGGCCTGAATTTCCTGCACTGTTAATGAAGCTGTATTTTTTTACGGTCTGTTTTTTTTTCTTTTTTTTTAAGGGTTTCTTTCCATAACAAGAGGAGGGGGAGAGTAAAAAGGGTAACTTCTCACACCCAGGAGAGGAAAAAAAAGAAAAGAAAATCTGGCAAACAAGAGGCATTTCTTTTTTAGTTTCGGCTGAATAATTGGCTTATTTGTTTATTTTATTGGAACGTATCCAGCTAAAGCTCAAAATCTGAAATAACAAAAAAAATGAAGCATATTTCGTTCAAAAATACGTGTTTTAATAAATAAGCAAAACAAAAACAAAAAAAAATGTACATTGGACGGAGTTTGGATGGAGACTCGCTAAAAGAAAGTCGGTGAAATAAATCCATGCAGCGAAAGACTCTAAATTGCATTGGTCCCTTTACAGGCTATAGGCGTACTTACACAAGTATGTACAATATGCATTCATTTATATATATTTATACTTTGCTTTAAAGTCTTTGAAAAACAAAATAGATTTCCTTAAAAAAAAAAAAAAGAAAAAAAAAACATTTAGAGGATGGCTTTGCTGAAATACAGGCCGTGAATCTTCAGGCCTTCTGCAGGGCTCTGTGTGTGTGTGTTTCCCCATTTGCTCTGCCACAAACAGCTCCAGACAGTCAGAAGCAGTGTGATGAATCTGCATCCACACACACACACACACTCCCCCAAGAGTTTGTAGTTGTGGGTCACATTACGTCTCTGCCATGCCTTTGAGGTCGATGGGTTCTTCAATAATCCCTTTGGTCTTCATACTTTGTAGAAGTAAACAGTCTGTGATGGAAACAAGGAGGAGAAAAAAAACAGAGAAAATATTATTGATCGTGCGTAAATGCGCACAGAAACGAACAGGTTATTGATTCAGGCGCATTTTTCTGGGATGTTTTTTGAAGCACTCACTGGCCCACTAAGCATGTGGGAAGTCATTAATGAATCAATTATTAGCCACTGAGCTGAGTAAAACCACATGGAAACACAAAAGCACGAACGTTGATGCGTTTTGGACCCTGCAGCTGCAGCGAAACGCAGAAAAAAAACACCGTTTTGTTCTGGCCTTCAGTTTGAAGCACCTGAGTAAATTCACGCGTTTTCATTTCGCAGCGGATCACAGGACAAGCCTAAAATAATACAATCCAATTCCTCTGAGCAGCATTAAGCCCCGAGTTATTATTGAAATACATCACGACGTTCACTAAGGTCGCTATTTTGGAGGTTTATTTGGAGAGGCCTTTTCCTTAGCCTACTTATGAATATCCTAATATCCCCATGTGAAAATACGATTTCCATTTTCCAGCTTTAAACTATGCAAAATAAATGAATAAATAATAACAATAGTGTTTTGTCAATAAACAAAATGTCCTTGTATGTTGAGAAATAAGACAGTTGTAGAAGCTTGAAGGCCATGAGCAGCTTTCTGCACATCTCACTGCTGTGTTATTTTCTTTTCACATTTCATGGAGGCCAATTACGAAAAAAAAAAAATTCCACCTTCAAATTGACTCGTGCTTACAGAAATCACTGTAATGAAGCTGATTCCTCTCCCCGCGGCACCGGGATTGGTTTATAAGACAACAAAGCCTCGCTGATGAGCAGTTAGGACTGGGCGGTCTGCTAACTACATGTCAGGGCCATGAGAGCTAAACAAACCCTGCTTCTGGTTATTTTAACCGAAAAGTGTTATTTAGTGTCCGTTACTGAGGGCTCTTACACTGCAGAGCTCCAGGCAGACCTTCTAATAAGAAGCAACCCTAAATAAACAGCTCACATGGCGCAGTGGGTACCTTCATTTTCTTTAATTGTCATTGTTTGGGCCTTGGTTCGATTAGAGCATCTGTCAGATGTTTTAGTGATGCGCAAAATGACCAAAAGAGAACAAAAGGCTTATTCCTCACGAGAACTGTTTCTTCCTCTTTTGCTAGATGCCAAGTTGAGTTCTTAAAAGAAAATTGCCAATAAAAAAAAAAAGTAAAAGTGTAAGAGGTCTACTGTGATAACGACATCTCTTTACTTTCTGGCTCCAGGCAGCTCTCCAAATACGCGCAGACCGAGCTGCAAATCTGCAAAATAACGTGACCAAATCCTGACTGCCTGTTAATACGGGCCTGTGTTTTTATTGTCTTGCACTGGATTGAACTTTCATGTCCAGCCGAGCTGCCCATTCCTGCGGTCTGCACACAGGAAAGCTCTCTATTGTGGATATAAATTACCCGTGGTGGCACTACAGCTGCGTTTCAGTCCGGCCCAAGTCAATTTCACCCAAGTCATTATGAAACACTGAGAGCGGCTGAACGAGGATTAACTGCAGAAGTCACAACTGGCTAATTTAATAGTCGAAAATAGAGCAGACAGAACCAGAAGAGGCATATTCTTCCTGCCTGGCATGTGAAAGTGTTCCAAAACTATTATTTCTATTAATCCGCCTACTTCCCTCCGCCTGATCCCTTTCTCAAAATAAACGCAGAGTTCGTTTTTTTCCCCCCACATCCTGAGCTTTTGCTTGACTGGATCCTAAAGGGATCCACCAGTAACGTGATGGATCAGTTGCTCCGCGCACAGCAGCAGCAGCATCCAGATGCAGACGAGCAGGCGGGCGTTGACAAGATGCTGAGGCCTCCGTGTGAAATCTGTCACACGAGCGCGCAGCTCAGACACGCTTTAGTTGCAGGAATTTTTTTGTGCACAGCTGATGCACAGGAACGTTTTTGGTAATCACCTCAACATCTGGCCACAACTTCCCTCCAAATCCAAAACACGTGGCCAAATCACCACCTCGTTACTTGTCACAGTTTGCATGAATTGAATGTGGTAACGTGCGTGTATTCATGAGGAAAATGTACATATTACAATTCATCATCTGCCTCATGTGTCACACTCCAACATTAGGCTGATTATTATTTGTTTTTGTATCACTGAGTGTCTCACGAGGCTTTTATTTATTCACCACTGGTCCAGTCAATAACAAAACATCATTTTCTTCTATCCCCTCTGCTATAAATGCTAGTAACACTGGACTTTCTGTGCTTCGGTTCGTGGTACCCACCGCTTTGGCATTGTGAGTGAAGTTCTCTGGGTGCTAGTGAGATGCTGACATAGACCAAGCGCCCTCCATCCTCCACACGGAGAACGCGTAACTGAGTCTTTCGTGCGCTACGTAGCTGCAGCTGGACATCTTGTTGTCCATCTCGTCGCTCTGCAGCACCTGACAGAGAAAATCTATGTATCTGGAGGCCAGCTTCAGCGTCTGTATCTTGCTGAGTTTGTCCGATGGCAGCGTGGGGATAATTTTGCGCAAAGACGCAAAGGCCTCGTTCAGAGACTGAGTCCGTTGCCTCTCCCGGACGTTGGCCAGGACCCGCTGGTTCTGCAGCTCCTCGTAAGACTGAGTGCTGCTCGGACTCGGCTTCTTGCCCCGCTTCCCCGGCCCCGGGCTGCTGCCGCTGCTGTCCTCGCTGGACTTTTTACTGTGTCTCCTCTTCCTCGCGAAGCGTTTCTGCTGTCTGTCCAGCTCCTCCTCGCTGGTCACCAGACTATCCACAGGGGAGACCGGAGAACTGGAGCCCTCTTCCATTTCTTTCTTGAAGAAATGCAGGGATAGAGAGGAAAAAACGCTGTCCACCTTTGAAGCCGTGGTTACAGAAGTGTATAGATATCCGCAAAGATGAGGAGGAACTGTGTCAAGATGTCTCTCTGCGCGCTTTTTTGGGAAGAAACTGAGTTCAAACCGGCGGTTGGCACGCTTCTCCTCTCGCTGGAAGTTTTTTCCTTCAATTTTTTGGAAACTTTATACCGGTTTCAGATGCTAAATAGTTTTGAGAGTGGAAGGGGAGGGCTTTGGAGGGCGGAGGGGGAGCCAGTGTGCTCCTCGGTCCTCTAATAAGCAGGAGGGACCAGTCAGAGCTCCGTGTATCCGAGATGACTGAAACGAGCCACTTATTTACTGTCAGAAAGCAACGGATACTTCAGTTTAATTTGCTCTTTTTGCGCCAAGTCAGTCCATCAAAAAAAGACACTTTCTTCATGTGAGAATAAATCAGTCTTTTTAATTTAATTTTTTTATTGAAACTGAATTAATGACATTATTATTTAATTATTGCGTAAAATATTTTTCGTTGCGCATTTATTTAAAAAACTCAATTAATAGGAAATATTTGTAATAAATATTAATATTTAGTTTAATCATAAATTCGCATTTATCTAATTTTTATAGATGGAATTATTAGTAATTGTGAAGACATTTTTTAATTCAGTCTACAAAAGTTTTTGGCGTTGGATTCAAGTGAAACGTCACTCTGAGCCTTATTGGGCAATAAAACAATCGAATTAACTGCTGTATAAAATCTATTTGCTGTTGGAGCTTTGTGCCACAGTCCAGTCACAGTGAGGCCTTTTTTTTACATCCACACAAACCTTCCACGTTTAACTGCAAGTTTGCGCACCGTTGAGGGCGATTTACGCACAAATTCTCCGGACTGCAAGGAAAATCTATCCGCTTGATCTCTAATCGAATCAAGTCCGCGCTCTCTCACAGTTCCTATAATGTGGAAGTCAAACAGGAAAGAGGCTTAAACTAACCGGCGAGCTCTCCGGTTTCTGCGGATACCTCCAGTGGACGTTTCTCCTCCGTGCGTTTTGTCAGCGGTCCACCTCCTTCATCTGTCATGTCATGTTTTCCCTACACAGCGCGGCGCACAGGTGGCTCACATTATAGAGCTGAATTTATCCGCTGCCAGAATGCAGAGTTTGTCCAAATCAGCTGACTGACCTCTGGAGAGCTCTGTGGCTCTATATTGTTGTGGGTTTTTGACTGGAGCCAGCGCACTTCAGCTCCAATAAACTGCAAAAAAATATCATTTAAATATTTGTTTTATTTTGAATTTAAAAAGAAACAACAGGAGAAAAAAATATAGGAGTGTGATGGAACAGGTTTGTGAAATATTTCTGGTATTAAATACAATTTTTTCTGACACATGAAGACAGACATGATTGATTTTGACTTTTTTCCTTCTTCTTCAGTGTTACATAGCAATAGAACAACATTAAAACAACCAATTTAAGGGAAGATTTCCTAATGAAGATTGATGAATACGGGGGTGTATTTTTTTGTAATGAAGGCTACTTTAATGCAATTTGATGTTCCTGAACTTATCAAGGACACAATTCTTCTACTGTGCATCATCAATCAAACTGCAGTCATTATATGGTATTACAAAGCAATTTTGCTCATTTACACTGTTGCATGCAGCTCAGCTCAAGAAAAGTATCTGAAAATAATCAAATTGCAGCATCTTAAGTGTCCGTGTTCTACAGCTTGTGTTCTACATGTCCAGGGAGACTGGTTGTTATAAATGGGGTGGAACCGAGTACCTCCTGAAAGTTGCTCAACATTGTTCAAACCCACGAGGACTTACTTGGTACTGACTCCCTCGGCCTGAAGGAAACCTCCAGTCTGCTTTGTGTTCTGGGCTCCACTGGTAATAGTTACTGTCACACTACTTTTACACAGTGCCAGAGCTCTTAATTCACACTGTGGCAGGCCTCGGCACAGGTCGAAGTGTGGTTACGTTTTACTAGTCCGGCTCATACAGCCTCTTTATGTAATGTTTCACACATGCAAATATGAAAGTAATGCAAAAGTCTGTGCAAGCGCATAGCACGAAAAAAAAAGGAGCACATATATAGACACACTTTCCCTGATTGTGACCTCTGACCTTTGGTTCCCCGGCTCAGCTGCAGGAGGCCTCCATGCCCAGGGGAGAAAGTTGGGACTTGCAGAGGTAGAGATTGATCCTGTGCAGCGCCTGTGAGGTTGGCTTCACATCCACACTTCATAAGAAGGAACAAGAGCGAGAAGGGGGCCCCTCTCCTGCACTTTTCCATCCACTGTACGTGCTCTGGGCAACGACAAGCAACAAATAACAAGGATGACAGCTTGCTGCAGTCTCGAGCTGATTTCACAAACAAAAAAATAAATAAATAAGTGTTTCATTTAATTTTGCTTGGAGTGTAGAATGCTGTAAAGGTTTTATCTTTAAAATACAATTTCATTCACTGGCTATAAAATTGTTATCCTGAACTGATCATCAGTGTATCTCAGCAAGATCTGTGAAATGTTTTGATGTGGAAATACTGACTGTAATATCCATAAAAGCTCGTTAATCCTACTGTTGATGTCGGTAAATGATTCATGTGCATCTCACCCAGCGTTCATTGGAGTTAAAGAGGAATTCTTGGTCCTTGTGACTGTTGCAAGAACCCCCAGAGAGAAATGATGGAAGATAAAAAGAGAATGGCAAAATGAAGTGAGACAGAAGGGATGACCTGCCTCTCAGATCAAAGATGAGCTCGGGCCGTAATTCAGCAGAGCAGGATGACGTAGCTCTGTCTTGTCTGACACCTTTGAAACCAGCTCCACATGGGTCGAGGGCACGGCCTTAATGGGCTCAGATCCTCTCCGCTGTCACATCAGCAAAAAAAAAAACAAAAAACACAGCCTCGTTGCATGCACTGCAAAAAAATCCGCCTCGTAAATAGGAACGACTGAGACAAAAAGTGAAACCGAGAGGTGTTGAAAGACAGAAAACAGGTTCAGAGGAAAAAGAACGAAAGGAAGGGACAAAAACAGAGAAAAGAGGCCAAATGTACGGATGTGTGAGGATCCAGAAAAAGGCTTTGATCTGACGTGGAGGGTTACGGATGTGTGAGGGAAGTTATGGAAGAAATGATTTGTTAAAGGCTGCGATGAGTGGAATTTTACTATCCATGTGCCTGCCAGGATCGCTTACCTTTGACTTTACCACCACCCCAAAACACTGGCGAGGTTCACCCTGAATGATCTTGGCAAGAAGAACTGAAGCCGTGGTCCGTGTGGAAGCATATGCATGTGTCCGCATGTGTATGTATACGTGTGCTCTAAACCCATGTACGGGGGACATTATCACCTGATTATTATGTGCCTCGATGTATATACATCTGCCTTTTCTTCCTTATGCATGTGTGTGTGCATCTGTGTGTGTGTGTGTCAGAAAGTGATTCAAGATGAACCAAAGATGTTCAGCAGAGGAAAAGCCCAGCTGGTTCTCATTGCACAGAATACTGTGTCTATTACCAGCAGCGCGATCGCTTTTAAAGCTACCTGTAGATCCACTGTTTCCATTAGAGGAGCCATTTACATATCTGCGGTACTACACAACTGTGCAATGCAACCTGGGAAAAGAACAGCTGATGATAAGGACTGCAGCAATCATATTAATTATCTGTTTGTTTTTTTTTTAAAGCAATAGCTCAAAATGACTGACATAAATATATAAAAACACAGATTTTTGAAGAAGAATAGCTGTGCCGGGGTGACACATGGTGACTTCATATGCAGTAGCTTTACTCAGTGGTTAAAACTGTGGTGGAACATATGAGAAAGGAGGATACAAATTGACGAATATGAAAAAAAAAATGGTAAAAATTTGTTGTTGGCTGTTTCTAACTTTTAAAAAAAAGGGTCTTTAGTAAGAAGCGGATTGGTTTCCAGGGTTTGAGATAAACAACATCTATGTCTGTTTTATTGCGCAGCTCTTTTCCAGTAAGCTGTGAAAAATGTGACTCACGAGTCAACTCTGAATAAGAACACACACGTCAGACTCAGAGGAAATCCAAATTTAGCGTTGAAATGAAACAAAAATATGCATGCAAAACACCACCGCCTTTATAATAAACTGTATACATAAATACATTCATTACATAACCTCCCAAGAACTATGATATCAATCAGAGCAAATAAAGAATAAAGTGTCATTCTTTGTCCTAAAGCTACAGTCGTATTTTTACTTTTGTTTCTGATCACAGCCTGTATTTAGCAGAGGCCTCTACAGTGAATGAAACAACAGGAATATCAGTGAGAGGTACATATTGGGCTATAAAACCGCGGGGGCACCTGCACTCATAGAGTCAACTCTCAGCAACGCCAAGAGTCCATTCATTCATATATCCACACTTCGCCATTCTTCTGCCCCGGGGCTGATGACAAGGTGTTTCTGAAATCGCATTAGGGGCCCTTTCATAAAGGTTTCACTGGGGAGTGTGTAACAGCTTGAAGCATTTAGGCTTTGTTTAATACGATGCAGACTCGTTGCTCGATGCTTTGTCTCCTGTGCGAAACGGGGCCCGGGATGCCAGAGACCCCCAACTGTCAAGAGTTTGCTTTGATATGTGGAGGTGGAAGGGGAAATAGGGCAGAATAACCCCCGTCCTACACACACACACTCATACGTATACGCCTCCACCCTCCCTAAAACGTGCATGCTCAGTACCTGACTTTGCCCTTGCTGCCCTGCAGAGTTATGGCCGTCCAGCGAACAAGCCAAGCTTTGAAGTGCAGCCCTCCAAAGCTTTTACACCCTATGGGAGATGTGCGTGAAGAAAAGAAATGGTGATCTACAGTACTGTGTCCGCTTCAGGCACATGCTGTATCTGTTAGGTAAGGTGCCCTGGTTCCAAAACACTGTCGGTTAAAATGAAGCTAAAATACTTAAAACAGAAACTTGCAAAATGAACATAGATTACACTGTATTACACGAATTTCACAGATGCCTTAGCGTGTAGCTCAACAACACTTGGGCAGTTGTTGAACCCCTTTTTTGATTAATGGCTGACCCGCTCTGCCGCCCGAGCTACATATTTATTCATGTATACACAAATGGATCGGTTGTGTGTGTGTGTGGGGGGGGGGTGCAGATGGATTTGCTGTTTATTTGATCAGTTTTGTCCA